ATATATATATATGAAAATATGAAATTGTTTTTATTAGTACATTATAATTATATTTAATATTATTTTTCTGTATACGTGTTCCATGCTTTGTACATCTTTGATCAGATATATTACAACTATATTAGTTTATAGATATATTCTTATAGATATATTTGTGGATCGTCAAAAAAGCAAGTTTCCGTATTGATCGCAGAGATCAAGCACGTTATGTTGGAATACAGCTTAAAATGGGTGATTGCTTGGAAGCCATGAAATTAATTACTGAATTCAGAGATGTTTTTTTTTTAATCATAATTTTGTCGTGTGAAAATAATACTTATTTTAGCAATAAAATAACTGAAGTAATTAATTTTATTTTTCTGAAATTTCACTAAAAAATGTTCCAAAACGGAAAACAATTTCAGTAAAATTTCAGTAGAGTTTTAACGAAATTTCAGTGAAATTTTTCCACCGTGATATTCATATTATCTAACGAAATGCTTTCTTGAAAGCAATCTTAGAACTCCAATTAATTAATTACTTCTAATCATTTTTAAATTAGAAATAATTATTTATTGTAAAAATTGTTTACTAGACAAGAAAAAAAGTTGTTTTTAAGAATTCTAAAGAATTCTTCAATTCTGTATTTGTTATGGACTATATGAAAATTATTTATATGAAACAAATTTTATTTAAAACAAGTAAATTTCTTTCTATGTAATTGCTTACAGGAAATTGCAATCCTTGCAATAAAACTTCTTGCGCCTGCGGACATGAGAGTCGCGTGTCAGGTCCTATCCAACCTGTAACTATGTCATATACAATCACACATCCTAGAGAGTGCGCTAAAATTGAAATCTTTCCTTGCCAACCGGGATGCCGACTCGCAAACATACAGTATAAACTATTTAACTCTTTTTGTAATCCAGCTCGAACTTCAGCACCATATAGAGGACTTGTATAATATAAAATATCCATTGCTGATGTATTAAGCAAATGACGTATGCTTAATACACTGTAAGGTGTAATTGCATCTACTATATCTGAAAGAAGAGGTTACACATTCGGTAAAATTAAGTAGATATTAGCACTATAAAGTATGTGTATTTTACCTCCATCTAACTTTAATGATGATCGCCATTCAACTGGAAAGAATTCTACTCTGTGTTTAGAATTTGGAAAGTATTTTTGCTTAAGCCAATCCACGCAATCTCTAAAACTGTTAATTTATTGATACTTAAAAATAATATTATTTTATAAAAATATAATACCATATAGAATTATACAAAATGTTCTACGAAAAAACTGATTTCTAAAATATGTTTTGGAGACCATTCTAAAAAAAGATAGAAGATGTAAAAGAATTTAACCAAAAGTAAAATTCCGAATATTAACGAAGATACAGTTGGCACTGCACGGTTTATCTGAATAATTCAGTCATTATTTGACCTATTAATCTGTCCTACAATTGCGTAGTTGTTAAATGATTGTAGTTGTAAGAATTGACCAATCACAGTCGAATATGAGAATATTCTATCTGTAATTGGTCAATCCTTATAACTACAATCACTTACAACTACGCTTACATAATTATAGAATAATAGGTTTTATAGTTATGTATTTGTACTGTAGATAACGTTGACAATTTAATTATAGATTATACCAGAAAAAAATCTTACTTAAAACTTTAAATCGCGTTTTCTCAAAATGATGCTTTCAACATATTACAAAATTAATTCAAATGCTCTTGCATAGTTATTGTCAATTGAATTATCTATATATAAAAAGAAAACAAAATACTTGTGGTTTTTGCAATAACTTACATACTTTTTTTCTAATTATCGATACTTTTACATTGAATTTTAACGTCAAAATTGAACTTTTTTCTCACGCATGAATCATTTTCACAATTTGTAAATATTTTTTTAAATCTGAGATATTTCTTTAATAAATTTAATGTCGATTAAAAATAGTTAATCAAATTTTTGATACAGCATACTTCGGACTCGTGTGTAACCTTTATTGTGTATAAGCCTCCAAAAAACGTGCTATAATGTCGCTATTTTGTTTGTTAGGAGCATAATTGTTATACGTTTACGTACATTCAGATAAAAATAATAAATAAGTACAAAAAGATTTTTTTGTATCATATATAGTTTTTTTATTAATAAACTCCTAAAATAAGATATGATTTTGAAGCTTTTGGATGGACTAACTCCTTAATCGATCGATTAATCGCAGATATAATTCTTACGGAGAAAAGTTACAAACACTTACAGCCTATTTTCTATTTCGTATACATGATCATAATGACGCATGCATATGTAATTATAATAGAGCATGCAAATATATCACTAATGCTATATTTATTAAATCGATATTTATTAATTACTTATTTAAATAAAATTTAACTTTTCTTGTTAATAATTTTTAAATAAATTTATAATAATTTCTTTTTTAATAAACAAAAAAACAAGTGACGATTAAAACTTTCTGGAATTCATTCAAAAGAATGTTTTTAACAACATAAAATTAAGGTCGTCAAAGATACTTCTCCTAAAATCAATAATTATCAAAATTTGTTCTGTCTCTCAAAGATCTCTGTTGTTGATGAAAAGGGTAAAATTCGTTGTTGCCCGTAAAGGATTAAAACTGTATTTTCGTTAATTAAGAATGTCAAAAAAGATAATTATATTTCAAATACATAGAAATAAAAATAGTTAGCATTCTTGATCATTTAGAATGAGTCCATTAAAAAATGCGCCTATTAATATGATTAGTGACTGCAGAACATTTTAGAAATTTATCAATTTGTTTACGAAACTCTGTACAAAAAATGATTATTATTATTACCATGTGGTATTGCGGATAATTTTCCCTGTATCTCGCTTTTGTCCTATTCCATGAACAACAAATACTAAATGGTCGATATCACGTGGCTTGTCCTCCATATTTGTACGCGTTTTATAGCCTCTTTTTAATCGATAGCCTGTTGCTGTCAATTTAGAGTAGAAAAAAATGTATTGAAATAATACATAAAAATATGAATGATTTCATTTTAATTATTATTAATCTTGAACTTACTTTTAGCAAAACCCAACTTTGATGTAACGCTACGCATTAATTTAGTAGGTGTATATTCGCTATATAATGTCACATCGTTAACCGAGTGCCAATCAACGTGAAATTCGGAAAATTGCTCAGTATGTAACACTGAAAACGCGATAAGTTTTAAAATTTATGTAAGGACAAGTAAGAAAATCAAGAAAATGAAAACAAAAAAAGAGTACCTTTATAAGATTGAGAAGGATTTGTATCACATGTAATGATATTTTGATTGCTGCTTTCCTTTTGGAATAATTCAAGATGTACCTTTTCTATTACTTTGGAATGTTCTGTTTCCAAGGGTATCCAACTGCCATCATAATACCATGTACCCCTCATAATTTCCCATTCTTCACCTTCAACAAGAATTTACAAAGGTTACTATATTTGTATGAACTAACAATTGATGAGTGCCTTGCATGCGCGCGCGCGTGTGTGTGTGTGTGTGTAAATGTAGAATGTATGTTCTTTGAATGTATGCTACACTTTGACTGGTACTATCATTTTGAGAGAATTTAGGATTGACCAATAAAAACCAGTCACATTGAGTAGCTAGACTCTACATTATCAGCTATTGGGGGAGAATCAGCTATTGGCTTTGTGTAAACGGATTGAATTATCAATCGTGTGAGATGGGCAGTAATTAGTAAAGTCAGCTACTTCAAATATTTTTGTCCTATTGTTCACTCTCTTCGCCTACTATGCAACTGGTCCTTTGTAAATTAGTGTGACCAATGGATGTTCGAACAATACGTAGTAAAGAACATACAGCTAATAAGATAACTAATCATTCAATTCGGACTAGTACTGGCCATCGTGTAAACCAGACTTTAGTTTTTGTTAGAAATGTAATTTTCAATCAAAAAATATCTCAAGCGTTACGAGGTAGTATTCTTAGTTTTGCAAAAGTGTTTTTCTAAAAAGTTCTAAAAAGTACCAAAATTAGTATGTTCAGAATTAAAAATATCTTAAAAAATTAAAGCCATTTGTTTAGAAGTGAATTAAAAAGTACAAAAAAGTAGGAAATGTAGATGATTTGTCAGAAAGTGGATTAATCATTAAGAGAGAATAAAATGACCATTCATCTGTTTTTTAATGAAATCCTATGTTTGTATTGCATTAAGCTCGAAATCAACTACGTGAGAAGGATATAAACATTGAAATATTATCAGACGTCATTTACATGAATCAAAGGTAAAATGTCGTTTCACAGTTGAAAAATCTCTTTCAATACAAAAAATGTGAACAAAACGACTAGTCTAGGCTCAAGAAAATTTGAATAGTGGATTGGAATAACATAATGTAAAGCTTCTTTTCGAGAATGATTGCTCATACGAAGAGTCTGATCAATTTCAAGTAATAGAATCATTCAGCGGGTAGTAAAACATCCAGTTAAGATCCATACTTGACAGTGTTTTTGTAAACATAGTTTTGGTTATCTATTTGTTTATCGATAATCTAAACGCTGAAAATATGAGTAATATTTATTAGAAATATTTATTGATATCCGCTGAGAAATTTTATGTGAAAATTAGAGACAATTGGAAGCTTCAGAAATAATCCTAAACATCGGAGTCATTTTTTCGCATAGTAGAAAATGGAAAGTAACATTAACAATGGACTGGTCTATTTATCTTCAAATGCAAAGTCCATTGAAAGTGTTTAATCTTACAATTAGATAAAGTTCAAACTAAGAGAAAAATTTATTTTTAGTGTGTCTTAAGCAATTATCGATTAAAATCAAGTTGTCTACCTATTGAATATATTGAAAAATTAGGTAAAAGTATATTAAAAAGTTGGCAAACAATAATTGACAATAGATGTGACTGGATCTATTAATAAATAATTGCGCAATATCTTTTTGAGTCTGCTTTAATATATTAAAATCCTTAATTTTTTTTTAAGTTGTGTACTGTGTGTCCAAATGCTGCTATATATTTTCTTATGAAACAGACTGTACGTAAAATTTGAGCAAAAATATCAATTAAATATAAAAATGTCGCTATCCTTAATAAATTATTCATTTACTAGACAATATGTATATTTATTATACAGAGTGTCTGGAAATAACCGCCAAATATTTCATGGGCAGGTAGAGCGGACTAAACTGAGTCGAAAAGTTCTCTATCATTTTGTAAGTTTTCCCAAGTTAACGAGATATTAATCCTTAAAGATAGTCGAATACGCGCGCTCGCCCGGCCTACTACTGCGAAGTGTATATGCCTACCGATCGCTTGGCGCGTGGGCCTTGGGAATTGGGGATTGGCTGGCAAGCGTCCCGTGCCGCAAGCCTTCACAGCTCAGACGGCGCGCTTGCCAGGCTATCCCCGTTCCTCACATATACATTTCGCAGTAGTATTCGGCTATTTTTTCTTTTCGACTCAATTTAGTCCGCTCTACCTGCTCATGAAATATTTGGCGATTATTTTCAGATATTTTGTATAATACATAGTAAAAACATATTTATACCTATCTTACGATCTTTATAAAAAAATATGATTGGAGCTAACGAAACTCTCGATCAATAATAACTATTGGTCAATTGTAATTTGGCGAATAGTTATTACCATGAGTATGAATTGATTATTACTTATTAATACTAAAATGAGTATTATTGATTAGCGCCTCATATTTCAGAACATACGGCAAAATTATGATAAAAGAATGTTTCTCCTCTAAATTCGAAAATTAGTTTCATGCTGCTCCCAACCGATCACCCATCTTAAGTTGTAACCTCATCTATCTATTGTATTTTACTTTGCAATGGGAATTGTTACTTTGATAATCCACGAACATCGCAATGTTAATTGTATAACTGACATATCTAGTCAGTAGAAATTGTTAAAAAGATGGAACGCGTATAATTAAAATATTTCTTTCATAAGTGATCTAAAAATTTATAGATTTTATTGATTGAATCGTAACAATTATTTTCAATTTGCCAAAATATAAATGGTAACTATTGACACAATCATCACTCTTCATTGACGAATAGATTCGCTCTTATAAGTTTCTGTAATAACTATTAACTGTAATAACTATTAACTCTCTCAACCGTATATATCCTTGTATGTCACGGTTGTCATTAGATATGGTAAGAACCTAATCATTAATTAATAAATAACTATTGTGGTGGCCCAATAGTTATTATTTGTCATTCAATAGTTATGAGTGTTAATATTATAACTATCATTGGCTTCCAATTATCTAGATAGTAATATGCTAGTAGTATGCCAGCAAACGATGCAGCTGATTTCAATCTGCTGCTTCTTATAAGCCATGATGCAAATAAACAAGTGGTCCTGTTTTCCATTCCTGCGTTAAAATCTAGACTGCACTAAAATTCTCTTTCTTGCTTTCGAGAAATATCAGACATATATTTGTCTTACTTTAAGTTCTAAAAGTGTATACTTTCAGCTACAGAAAACAGATCTAAGATGTGCAACTAAGAATCATGGCATACAAAAAAACTTAAATAGAAGCTGCGTTCAATAGAGAAAGCAGCTTTGCAATTGTTGTAAAATTCTTCAATATGATTGGTTTATACATTTAGATCTATAAGAAACCAAAAGCAAGAACCAATATGAAGAATCGTATGAAGAATTTTACAATAGTTGCAAAGCTGCTTTCTCTGCTAAACGCAGCCAGTAAAACGTAAGCAGTAGCCAATCCAACACAATGATTTTCTTACTGCTTACATCTTACTGCCTTAAGTTTTTTGTGTGTCATGGCCCTAAGACAAATTTGCACATAGCAACGCGCTAATCTTATTTTCCGCCATTATTTTGAAACAACATATGGTGCTCGCGCGCTTGTCATATGATTTGAAATAACTGAAAATAATCAAGTTCTAATATAAAGTGAAATAAATAAGTAATAAGTAAGATAGTAAGTAATTACGAATAGAGTACTGGATATCTATCATAGAACAGATCGGAATGAATTCCGATCGGAATTATTCCGTTTTTCCTAGAAAACACAATAGAAATCTAGAATAATTCTGATCGAAATAATTTCGACTTGTTCCATAATTACTTATTATGCATGAAACTAATTTTTAACAGGCGATTTATTAAACAAAATCTGGCGAAAAATGGTTATTAAAAGATCAATTCTGATTGGCTGCAGCAATTAAACATGAGAACACACTTTGTCTACTTGCATCATGCATTAAGCTTATAACGTTTTCGAATATAAGGTGAGTTTGAAAGAATATAAGGTGAAGTACTCCCGTGGATGTAGGAGAGTGAATTTGAATAACATTTGATTAGCTGTTCCAATATAACAGCAGCTATTATATTATATGTATTATATTATATGTATTATATTATATGTAGGAAAATGCATATTGAGAAACATTTGATTGGTTATTTCCAATAACCAATTCGCCATTATGTGCAATGTTTCACCTTATATTCTTTCCTATAGGTTAAAATCCACTCGCAGGTGCAGTGTTGCTGTTCTTTTTGGCTCAACTTTTCTACCAGTTTACCTTTCTTCCTTTTCTCTTTAAGAAGAAAGAAGAAGAAGAAAAATGAACTGATGCAAAATTTCGCCAAAATTCAGCCAAAAAAACAGGCCTAGTTTCTAACAGTACAGTTACCAACCATTGAATGACGATAGAAATGTAATAGAAATTGAGTATCA